TTCTTTCTTTTTATTCAATAATAATTCAAATAGCCCACCATGCTGATGAACCCAAAAAATATTTTGAATTTATTGTATTCTGCATTTAATGACCCAGCATATAATATTCAAAGTCAAATAACAGATGAAGAACGATCTTTTGCTTCGTATTTAATAGACCTAATAAAAGTTTCATCGAATACTAAAATTTTTGTTGAAAATTACGAAACTTTATGTTACTATGATGATAGCGTAGAAGCTAATGCTATAAGCGTGGAAGATGAAGTAGAAGAAGATTTCGATGACTATGAAGAAAAAGAAATTTCTGACCAATCAGAGGATGTCGATTTGGATTATAAACAACGAGCACTTACTTTTTGGCGTAAAAGTAGTACTAAAAAAAGGAGAAGTTTGGATTCAGTAAAGAAAAATTTTAAGATGGTAAAACATGAGAGAATGCTGTACAGATGGGAAAAAGAAATAGAAGAAGGAGGATCCAGATTAGAAAAGTTACGCAATATTTCAAAATACGTTTTACAGCAATTCAATAATGCTACTGAAAATCGTTTACCTGTTCATGATATCGATTTAAAAAGATGGGGGTTATTGGCAAAAGAAAGTGTACAATTAGCTTCAAAATATTTTAAAGCGTCGCCAAAATGGGTGCATAATTTTAAAGTGAAACATGGAATAGTTTCAAGAAAAATTAATAAGTTTGTTACTACTGCACAGTTGACAAATCAATACGAATTGAAACAAGCAGCTTCTGAATTTGTAGACGAGGTATGGTCAAAAGTAGAAGCAAGAGGTAAAAAAAATATTTATAATTCTGACCAATTAGGGTTTAATCTAGAGGTTCACGCTGGCCGTACTTTATCAATCATAGGCACCCAAAAAGTAGAATGTCTAGCACAGTCGATAAATTCTTTAACACATAGTTATACAATTTAGCCAATCGTTTCAGCAGATGGAAAACTACACTCACCTTTGTTAATAGTTTTAAAAGAACCTGATGGTAAATTTGGACCATTGGTACAATCTACTATTTATAAAGCAGATAATATTTATGTTTTACCTTCAAAATCAGGAAAACTAACATCTGATATTGTAACTGAATGGTTTAAAAACGTTTTTTTACTTGCAGCTGATACGGATAGTTTGTTAATTTTAGATTCTTGGACTGGAGAAAATGAAAAAGTGTTTGAAAAATTGGATACAGGTATGAAAAATATTCAAATTAAAACTATACCTGCTGGAACGACGGGAATGATACAGCCTTTAGATGTCTATGGATTTAGACCTTGGAATAATTTTGTAAAAAACTTTTCAGATATAGTTATGTTGTACAATTTTAGCATTAACTTACATTTACGTAATAACATTTTAAAATTACAATCTCTTACGCATAACCAGTTTTCTTCACCACGATTTACAAACATGTTCAAATATGGATGGTACAAAAGTGGTTACGTACTTGAAAAACCAAATAGTTGGCAAACCCCTGTTCAGTATTGTTTTCAACATACTGATGTTAAATGCCACTTTTGTATGCTATTTGGGATTGTCACATGTGCATGGTGCACCAAATGTCTTTGTATAAACCACTTTTTTGCTCTTGACAATGTCGATAAACCACACTATTGTAAGCAATACGTTAATTCCACATAAATATTAAAATAATAATAGTAATTTCATTATATTTTATATTTTAAATAATAGTACATTTTTTATTGTTTCGTGTTACTTTTGTCTTCACTAATTTTATGATATTTAAACGAACTCCACTTACTATAAAAAATCTTTTAAAATTCCAAACGGCCCTTTTCATGGCCAAATGATGTGCAAAATCTGATCGATAACCTCCACGCGCTGCACATTAGGTCACGCTAATGTCGACGGTTCTTCAAAAAGTAATTTCAAATCACAGTTACTGTTATTCTCAAAATATTTGAGGTCAAAAGATTTTTTTCAACTTTTTAAACCTTAAAAAAAATACAAAGATAATACAAGAAAAGTATAGTCGTTGTTACAAAAAAAAGCTTGCGAATGAACATTTTATTTGAAGAAGCTTACTTCCAACGAGTTGGCTGCGGTTTTATTTATTTCTATGAAATTTACAGGTTTTAACTCATTTTTTATACAAAAGTTTTATTACAAAGTAAAATTTTGTTGACCTTTCTCTGGTTATGATCTTTATTTTCCTATAGAAAAGCAGCTGATGAAACTCGCTCTACCCAGGGCTAGGTGAGTTAGCCTGCTTAGGGGTTGATAGGGATGGTGTATAAGGGATATAGTGATTTGTGGGGATCGGTTATATCAGGTTATAAATGGGTTAGCCTATCCGGGTTGAGAAGTTAACTTTCTTGTGAAAAAATAATTAATCAAACTCGCTCTACCCAGAGTTAGGTGGGTTAGCCTGATTAGGGGTTATTAGGGGTGGTTTCTACCCCTTAACAGTGGATTCGGCCAAAATAAAAAAACACGGGTTCAATATTTTTTAGTGCTCTAACGATGTGCCAAGTTTGGTTAAAATCGGTGAGTGACACTTGGGTAGGGTTACTTGTCAGAAAAAATAAGCGACACACTAGTTTTTCCAAGAGTTAGATGAGTTAGCCTGATTGTGGTTGGTAGGGGTGGTTTCTAAGGGTTGGGAGTAAGTTGATAGAAGTTAGGTGGGTTAGGGGTGAGTAGGTTAGCCCGGTTATGGCATAGGATGTAATTATTTCAAGAAAAATCTGCGATTGAACTTACTGTTTCCAGGGTCAGACGGGTTAGGCTGTTGTTAAATTGGTAGGGGTAGTTTGTAGGGGTGGGGGATAAATAAATTGTGAAATGTAGCAGTGACTTATGTTAGCGGGTGTCCTTCTGAGTATTTTGAACTTTGATTTACTTAAATCGGTTGAGAATTGAGTCGAGGCTGGACTTTTGTCCAATTCTCTACACTGTGCGACACTTCGCATTACATTGTCGTAACCAATGACATGCGAACCATCATAAACTTTCCTATCGATATTGTAAACATATTTACTGTCGCATCAGATTACGTCATACAAGGTGAGTCATTTTAATCTACGGAGCTGAACTAATAAGGAAGGGACCCCAGGTGTCACTCGCCGATTTCAGTCTTTTTTTGATATGTTGTACAGCTTTAAAAAATAAGACATACCTGTTTTTTTATCTGCGAAAAAAGCTTTTTAGAGGTGAGACAACCCCTTAAAATTGTAGTTAAGGGGTGGTTTAAGGATTTTTAATAGAATAATTTAATATTTTTTAACCAAACTCAGCGGAAAATTTATGTACTGAAAGGGATGAAAAATGTCGATTTCTTGATAACACTTGACTTATTTTTAAGTATAAATAAACAATTTATTTATAAAAAATTAAGAAGTTAATTTTGGGCGAAAATTTTTGATAAAAATATGTTACATACAAATATATATCGTAATTAATGTATATCTGCCTTTGCCTTTACCCTTTGCCCTCGGCAAGGCTCAGTGGTCAGTGTTAGGCGCACTTTCTCTATGTATCTAATACTATACCTCTTTTTCAGCCGCCATAAATTATCAGGCCCAACTAGGATAGCCTAAGGAGAGCGAGAGAGAATATTGCAGAAGGAAAACATATGAAGACGCTGTAGTTGAAGAAAGAGAGAGAGAGAGAAACAGAAAAAGAGCGCTAATGTGAGCGCACACTAAGCGGTTATTATGCAGGCGGGTGACGCGCGCTATCAAGACACGCTGAATCGGAATAAGAGAGAGAGAGAGAGAGAGAGAGAGAGTACGCACTCCCCACGTCCACGTACTACTAAGCCACCCAGAGCAACAACTATAAAGAGCGCGCGGACCCCATTACCATCATTCGCTCGGGCGCTATGCTAAATATATAGTATACACACTAAAAACTATACAAGGTACAGTGGTTCCAATGATAGAGCGCCGGTCTGTGGACCCAGATAACGCTGGTTCAATTCCCAGACGCGCTCGTTTATTTTTTATAAAAATTGTAGCTTAGCCAAGCACGTAACGAAGCGTTCTTTCTATCTTCATTATATAATTAAACAATAAAAATAATAATTGAAATAAAATCAATCTGTCTATAAATTAATTCTATTGATCAAAAACTACCAGAACGAGAACATTAGAGTCTCTAGTCTGAAGCAAATCTATCAGTAAATTCTGCAAAACTACATGAATTAAACTTCGTATTGCACCCGTATCCACTGTATTCTCCATTAAGATTTGGCTGTCAGCGACTACTGTCTGTTTGCAGACCACAAAAAGCTGCTTGCCGCTAAGAAATTTTGCTCGAATGAAGATGTTATGGTTAAAAATGAGACCTATTTTGAGATAAATATAAATCGTTCTACATAAATGGTATTCAAATATTCGAGGGGCACTGGAATGATTGTGTTGCTCTTGATGGAGATAAAATTGATGTATAAAGCCAATTTTAATCGAAAAAACTGTGATTTTTTTGTTTAGCCAGGAACTTTTTAGCTTATGTGTCACTCCTTTAATCCTAATTAATCTCACTGCATACATCAAACTTATAGTCATTCTACTATGAATTAGTATGTTTTGAATTCGTACATATACAGTTTACTTTTGTGACTAGTTTTATTTTTCTCTTAATGTTCAACGATTATGTAATCTAATTAAGAATATATCTCGAGAACTATTTGTTTTATGAAAATTTGTATTTGATACGTATACTTTGAATATTATTTTTAGTATTTTTAATAATATTTGTACATATTTTTTTAAATAAAGATCTAATAAAGCTGAACAACATACCGGTGAAACGTAATCAAGAAAGTTAGTGAAGTAAATAGGGTATTTTTCTTTTTGGGTTGTATCCAACTTTTGTTTTATTGAGTTAATTTTAAAGAACTAATATATATTAATGTGTATGTATATTTAATAAGAAGATATTATATCACATTGAAGAACCTCACGTCTTACGATTTGATAAAAAATGTATAATTTTGAAAATTTAATAGTTACTCTTTCTTATTTTTAAAGGAGGACCAAGTAGGAGTTGATCCACTATCTACTAGATTAGCTGTTGGTTCCCCTACTGATATTGACATGAACATCAAAAAGTATTCATTATGTCCACTGAAATGTCGTCGAACTCCAGGAGATATCTCATCATGCTCGTTGGCACCAACATGTCGGCGTAGTTCAGGAAGAGAAATAACATCAGAACAATAGTAAGCTTATATCAACTATTGATAAAATAATTATTATTATATTTATTTTTTATATTATGAATAATCTTCTGTTATAGTGATAAAAGTAATTCTCGCGGTATTCTTGAATTCTCTACAGAAAAGGCAGGACAAGATGTCACGCCCTTGAATCTAGAATTTGATGACCAAAAAAAAAATTCAACTCTAAACTCCTTAACAGGTAAATTAGAAATTTAAATTTGTTTATTCTTTATTATAAAATCATGTTATATTTCTCGTTTCTTTTTACTTGATATCTTTCACAGTAAACATACATATATTTATATTTTAGTACAACTTTTATATTGGCTTTAGCTCTTCTTTATTACAAAATAATAGATTAAATAGATTGATTATTAGTAGGAAAATTAGAATTATGTCAAGCTTATGATTGTATCATTTTGAGATTATTACGCTCAAATAATGCGTTATATGTCAACGGCGTATTTTAAGATCAGTACTCTCCGATCATGTAAGATCGGACATTATACGTTTTAAATCAACGTTTGAGCCCTGACATTTTTTAAATATAAATGTTATTTAATTTCTAACCACTATATTTAATCCTCTATAACAAGGTGTAAGAAAAATGAAAACCATATACTGCTAAATATTATCCAAACAAATAAAGGTAAAAATTACCTATATAAAAATATAAAATTAAAAAATATATATCACCTAATCCCTAATCATATAAATAAAAAGAACTCTGGATACGATAACATAAACTGAAAAGTACTTAAAGAGCTACCTTTAAAAGAAATAACATATTTTCTTGCTCTATGTGAAAAGTTGCAACAGTAATACTTATTCTTAAAGGTAAATTATTATCGGATCTTGTTTCATCATTCAGTCCAATGAGCAACCATACTATTTTTAAAACTCTATGGAAAAATAATAATTAAAACACTAAATAAAGTACTGCTAGAACATAAAATAATATAAAATCGTCAATTCGGTGTTTGAAACAATCACGCTACCATAGAACACATAAATAGGATTACCGGTAAAATCAGAACTATTTTAAAAAAAGACGAATATTTTTACAAATTATTTCTTGGTGTAACTCAGGCTTTTAATAAAGTCTAGTAGAAAGCTTTATTGAAAAAATTCAGCTAAAAATCCATGCTAGATTTCTACATGGAAAATCAGTGGGATATCTATGTAAATTGATATGGATTCTACATGGATTCCATTGGATTTTTAATAAATCGATGTGAATTTCCTGTAAAATGCAATTGGATTTTTATTACATGTAACAGGCTCCCGTTTAACCGTTAACCTATTAAACCTATTTGTTATTTCGGTCAACGACGCCTTGTTATCTACGTGCCGAAAGCACGTCAACCTACCTTGTCCGGGAGTGCGCCTGCGCAGAGTCTCCTCGCCAATCCGAGTTGGGTTCCCCAACTCGCCACTTGGCGGCGCTGTCGCTCTTGCTTAGCAGCTCTCCTACGGCTGCTGCTGGAAACTTGGTTGGCGATTTGCTTCTACCGATCTCCGCGTGATCCGTGCTACGCTGTCGGCTTATTCGAATCGAACATCAACAAACGCGAACTCCGGACAAAGGAACGACAAAGCAATGACTCGATTTAGTAATAACTATTAATCGCTTTATTCAAATGAACCAAATACACGGGGGATTTACCGAGAGTCTTGCGCACGCAAATACAATTGACAATACGCCTGGGTGAGAGAGAGAGAGAGAAAATCGCGACCGACGCGAACTAACCGCTCGCACGCTATAAATAATTTCATCGCGCACGCTGCGCGGGATCGCACGCAAACAACAATATAGGGGATGGTGCACCTACCGCGAGATAGTTGAGGATACGGTGGCCAACCGTATCCGATATGCAAGCCGCTGATTAGCTGCTCCGCCGCTCGCTGCACTGCCGCTGTTACTGTTGTTGTTGTTGTTGCTGGTGTTGCTGCTGTTCGTTGCTGCCTGGATCGCTGAAACCGCTAAGGTTGCAGTCACTGCACACGCCAACTATGCGCACACTCACTGCAGCACTCTCACGCGTAAAGTCCTTGTTTCTCCAGGTCACACTCAACGAAATGTCAATGCTCTAGCACCCAAAACCGCAGCGAAGATCTAGCCGGACTGAGTGGCACAGTCATACTGCTTACCGAACTCTCCCCTCCCGGTCATTGCCCCTACGCGCCCTCTCTCTCCCTCGAACCGATCGCGGCTATTCCGCTCAGCCGCTTACTAACCCACGCGAGTCGAACGATTTTCGGTAATCGTTGCATACATTATATATAAAACTCATATATTTTATTAAATTATTGATTGTAACAGGGTGGTAGTCCGTTTTATTTCTTTGTTTCGCTCAACGCGCAATCTTACCTGAATGCGCGCGGCAAAATCGAAATATTCACGTTTGCTAACCGGAGAGCAGGAGGGAACGGGGATCAGTCAACCAACTTATTACTAATGATAACAATAAATTTTCATTTCAATTAAACATGAGTTAATTTATTTTCTGTGAACTCTACAAGACGCTTGGCCCGCGTGTTTATGTTTGTACGGCGCGCGCGACAATAACATGCATTGCTAGATCGCTTACAGTTCCTTTGTTCGCAATATTAATTCACATGCACGCTACCGATTTTTATAGAATCGCCGGTACGAGGGGATAGCAATTGAATGCGGTCGTTTGTTCGAAATCGCGATGTAAAGCTGGCCAGCTTACCTTACATATACGGTCGCACTATCACGGGGGACCAAATCAGTATTACCGCTTCCGGTATCTCGGGTTATTGTCTCTTTCTCTCTATGAAATGAATCTTCTGTCGTGGGGTTCCACGATCTCGTGGTTAGCCTACAATGGCACTGTTCCACGCACACTCTAAATTGCAACGACCGAGTAAATTTCGATGTAGACTATTAGCTGGTTTGCTTCCGCACTCTTTTGATCTCTGCTTTCGCGTTTGATTCTTCTGCCTGCTAGATTCTCGGATGGCTAATCCTCGACTGGTTCTTCCCCTTCGCGCGCGTTCCGTCCTATTTCGTACCGAGTTCCCGTTTTTCGTTTTCCCCGGCTGGTAGGTGCTGCCCTCGTAGACAGCCGCGTGTTTGAGACGATAGCGTTTATAAGTAGTCGATGTAGATGATTCTACGTATACGCATCCCAGAAAACCGTGGCCATAATCTTGCCAACTAACTTTACTGTCTTTGCCTTCTTTGAGGCTGATTCTCCTGCGGTAATCCACTGTTTGGACTGTTCTTTGGTTTCAGGAGTGTAGTGGTATACCCATGTTTCGTCTATAGTTACGAGTTGACGCCAAAAGTCTTCCGGATTATGACGTATGCGTGCCAAAAGAGCCTCGGAGGTGACCACGCAGGTTCGTTTGTTTTCAACAGTGAGCAAACGCGGCGCCCATCTTGCTGATATTTTGTTCATCCCCAATTTTTTATGCAAAATTGAAATGATTGTACCCTTTGATATCCCTGTAGCCTCAACTAATTCTCTCAATTTTAATCTTCTATCACTCAACACCATATCGTGGATTTTGTTGACCGTTTCGGGCGTACTCACTTCTACGGGGCGTCCTGAACGAGGTTCATCTTTTGTTGTTGTACGGCCCCGTTTAAATTCATTTACCCAGTTATAAACAGTCTTAAATACAGGGGTAAACTTGCCATTAACGACGTTCAACTCAAATGTGATTTCTTTTGGTGTCAGGCCTTTCAAATGAAAATGTTTTATCACCGCTCGAAACTCTGTTTTTTCCATTTTTCAAATAAACCAATAACTTTTTGTTTAACCAACGCTCACAAAAAAACGACTTAATGAATCGAGCTGAAACTTGGCACGATATCTAGTTAGTATTATTGCTTGCCAAAAACATCATAATTTAAGCGTGACGAGCGCCATCTCTTGGATGTTTTAAAGACTTATTGATCCCCCCTCGTACAAAACCCATGTCAAAGAAATTTTTTTTCATACGATTTTTTTGAGCTATATCGTATTATATTAAAAAACGCAAGTAACGAAAACGGCTTGGAATTATCTGAAGAAAAATTGAACACTTTTGTAGACATATTATAATTACCATCTTACAACAGTCACAATAATCAAAGAGACTATTGGTTAAATGATCCCCTTGTAAAGTGCCCTCCGGTTATATCAGCAATGCCACGTAATAGATTCGGTGAAATAAAATCAAAAATAAAATATTCAAAACCTACTAATAAAAACGTCGCGGACAGAGCATGAAAACTTCGTTATATTGCAAATTTATTTAGAAAAAATATTTAGCAATTTGGTTTCTTTTTAACAGGTCTTTTAGTTAATAAAATGAAGGTTTGATTTTTTGACCGCACATGTCTAAAACAATATTTGCCTTCAAAACCTGATCCATATGGAATAAAGCTCTGGACCTTTGTGGAGAAATTGGTTACAATTTTAATGTAGATATTTATTGTAACAAAAATGATCTGAGCATTGGAATTAACTTATCCTTACGTCCTCTTGGATCGAAAGTTGTTTTGCAAATGGTGTCTCCACTTGTGTATGGTCTTTCGAAAAGAAAATTGTCTAGTTATCATCTTTATTTTGACAATTATTTCATCAGGCCAAACTTAGTTATCCACTTGAATAAATATGGTTTACAATCAACGGGAACTATCCGTAGAGATAGAGTGAAAGAAGCGGATGTTTTTGAAAAGAAAGCTTCGTGAGGATTATTCAAAGTAAGCCAAGAACAAAACAGTGGAATAAATTTTATTAGTATAATCGATTCTAAAGAGGTTTCTGTTCTTTCTACAGCAGTTAGTGTTACTCCTCTAAAACCAATAAACAGATATTAAAAATCTGATAAAGATAGAATGGATATAGATTTCCCTTCTATTTTTGCTTTGTACAATAAATATATAGGGTATCCCATTTTAAAGGAACCACCTCGAAATTTTCGACGGTTAGCGTTCTACAAAAAAATTGTTCAGACGAAAGTTGTTTGGGACAATGAGGTAAACCTTTCCCAGAAATTGGATTTGATCTTGAGATTTATTTTCAAGGTCATTTGAAGGTCAAAGTCATTTTTTTAATAGGAACCTATAATTTCGATCCCGGATTCGAAAAGAGCAAGAAATTCTATGTTCAGATAAGGTATTATGTGTAAGTGATTAATGGTTGGGCACATTGGCAGAATACTATTATCTTTTGCTTCATT